AATATGGACAGGGAGTCTCATTTTTTTTATCATATCAATTAATATTACAGTACATCCTTGGTAATACAAAATTGTACACCTTCATCAAATAAATTAGGATAAATTAAACCAATAAATTATGCAAAGTCTTCAGAACAATAGACAACAACAAAAATCCACAATTGAAATTGCCTCTAGCTAAAAAAAAAAAAATCAAAAATTGACTTTATCAGTTCAGTTATTGTACTATATTCAAATCAAAGGGTCTTTATTACAAAAAAAAGAGCTTAATAATGCTATTTACAACATATTGCTAAATAATAGAAAGGCAGTGTTTTGTCACGGTTTATACTATATACATATGAGAAATGGCTGGGACGACATTGGGAGAAACTATGACCTTGGATTTTTCTAGGTAGCTCTGAGACCAACCCCAAATATATTTGTTGTTCTAATTCTAATTCTGAAGTGGCAATATGCAATTTAAAAATGCCTTTTCCTCCCATGTGGAGGATGCGAATATTTTTAAAATACATAATGAATGCATTTTCACAAGAGGGCCAGTCTGTTTGCCTTTTCCACTCATGCTTGTGCATTTTAGGGGGTATCCGATTTGAGAGAGGGCTCAGTTGAATGACTCAAAGTCCAGACGCTTCCAGATCCTGTTATATTCTTAGAAGGATAATTATAAGAAGATGCAAAGGTTAAATGCCAGTTTTGATCCCAGCTCTGAATATGAACACTTTAGCTTTAGTTTTATAATAAGATGGTTTACAACCAACAGATCGACAGAAAACAAAACTGCATTTCCTTCAACATAACATTTAAGTGCAATACAGTAACTGCTTACTCATATAAATCAGTTACATTCTTTTAAGGGGAGCTTTTTGAAAACAATGCTTCTTGTAATTTGCAAACACAGAGTTTTGTACCAAAAGGAAACATTTGTACTATTCACACCAATGAATATTCTATAATATACATGGCAAAGAGATTTTGCTCTGTCCTCACATGTACACTGTTTTCAGGGAGTCTGTAAACCACTTTTTCTTTGATGAATTTATGATTGCTTCCAAGGGACATCCTAGTTTTAAAGCCCCCAAATCTTTAGCTTTATGACTTAGTATTAACCTGTGTGTGCGTGCGTGTGTGAGTGTGCGTGTGTGAGTGTGCGTGTGTGTGTGTGGTGGGGGTTACTTACTTAGTGTTTCATGTACATAGAAAAGAAATTTCATAAATTTACAGAAACTGCATTACCCTTGCCCTTGACATCTGATGAAAGAGGCTGTTATCTTTTAAAAGTAGAGAGCAGGATTTTCAAGAATGCTTTCAACTGCCTGTACAGTCACTGTAGTGTTCCTAATAAATTCAACAGATGTTGTGAGAATGTAGTTATTTATTAAAATCTCATGTCTTACGTAACAACAGCCATGAGGTTAAATATTTACATTGCTTTATAAAAGTTCCCCTTTACTTTAGTGTTTTTGTTTTGTTTTTTGTTTTTGTTGTTTTTTTAAAAATGATATTCACCCACATCCCTAGCACAGCAACAAAGATTCCGCAAACATAAAACACTTTAATTAAATAATACTCGGAGGCACAAAGCAAACTTCAGGAGTATGTGGGTGAACGTTTCCTTAAATAATTACTACGCCCTACCATCTTCCACGTGGTTTTACCATTTAATGGGAAATGTCCTCCTTAAACAGCCAGAGATACAGTAAGAATTAAATGTTTTGTTGTTGCAAATAGAACATTCTTTTCACAAAACGTAACAAATGTCTAAAATAGGTCCTTAAATCTAGATAGGAAAAGGTAAGCTTTCCACTTCACACGCATATATATATGTATATTTTTACATGTGTGTATATGTGTGCATGTATCCTCATGTTTACCCACCCCCACACACATATATAGCACATGGTATGAAATATTGCTTCTATACTACTTTTCATCAGGCTAAGAAAACACAAGATTTGCACCACAGTTACAAAAAATTGGCTTCTACAAGAATTTTCAAAACTCGGATGCTGCTCAAACAATTGAAGAAAAAATAATTTGCGGTATCAAACTGTTCTAAAAATTCTCTTCTTCAAAAACGTATTCTCCCGCTTTGTTTTAAAAAGACACAAAATATGCATAGCTATCAACGTTATGTCAAACAGCCAGAAAAAAAATCTAGTGTTTATTGCAGCTGTAGTAATTGGAAATAAAGTCAAAAAAGATGAAATCGAAAGCCACAGAAGGCACAAGAACAATTGTACTTGTGGGAAAAAACTGGTATTTTTGAAGGATTTTAAAAAATCCCCCCGCTGGTGCATTTTAGGTCTAGGCACAGACTATAACCTCAAGTGTATATGCAAAAATAATTTCGGGTTAGCAGAAAATAAGTGGAAATGTGGTATTTCAACATGCACTTTAGACTTCTTTTTTCCTATGTAAACTGTCCTCATTCTTCACCCTCCCACCTTCCTAGAAAGTTAACTTTCTCCCAAGTAGCCAATTTTTTCACTTGGTGAGAGTTGAGCTGAGATCTGAAAGATGGTGATTGAAAAAAACAAACAAACAAACAAACCCAGAATTGTTAAGTAGGAGTTTTGAGAGACAGGCTTTTGTCACTTTCCAATGCACTGGGAGGCACGGGAGTTGGTCGTAAAAGAGGAAAAACCACCTAAAAACAAAAGTGATCGAGTTCTGTTTTCAGAACAAAGAGGTGAGCTTATCCTCAAGTAACTTCTACTCTGAAATAATTTCCACGCCTCAGTGAACATTGAGCGGATGTTATCATAGATAAGCACGTCAACATTGGTTGTGAAAACACACTTTTGCTTAATTTGTCTATTTAAATTAGAAAGGCCGGGGGAAATAATACTAACGATCCAAATAAGTCTGCAATCAATACTGGATTTGCCCCAGATCAGAAGATACTCGCTGTCTGTCTACATAGGTGAATACACTCCGGTTTTGCCTTCTACCTTGCAAATGGCAACACAAGGTTGATAGGAATTACATGGAACAGCAAAGACCCAGTTGTATAATGACTCGAACAATGAATTCATACTCTTTCACATGAAGCAAGGCAAAAGAGTGTGACCACAAGTTGAGATTGCTTCCCTACTTTGTGCCGATTGGATTCTTTTTTTTTTTTTTTTGGTTTGCGTTTTATTCCAATGTAATGATTATCTGAACACATTTTTCCCCCCAAAGCAAGCCAGAACAAGAACAGATTGGATCTGATGGCTCTGTGTGCGCTGTGTAGGGGAGCACGAGCCGGCTGATGCATTTATTTGGCTGTGGGTGCACAGCGAAGCCAGTGCAGTGTTGCTGCACTCCGTCCACACTGCGCGAGCCTGTTAGCCTCCTGAACGAAGCAGGGGCATCATAGGACTGTGCCGTTTAATTTAAAGTCAGCAGGTTTTAAGGCTTTGTGCTGACAATAATTGCCTCCATACATTCCTGTCCATCAGCAGAATTTATAAATGATGTTAAATTACAGCGATTGGGTCAGCTAGTTAGTCATATGGGTCAACCGGTATTCTCCAAAGTCAAATGTGATTTTGATAAAAATTAAGGAAAAATGGTATTTGTGTTCTATATAATCTAAATACCAGGTTTGTTCCTGTGTCATTTTAAGTGTGTATCAAATTGCTTAAGGGGGGGAGGGGGGTTGGAAAAGCCTATTAGGATGAACAAGGAATTCTTACTGCATCTGCACACAAAATCCATCTGAAAAAACAAGCGTGAATGCCATACGACTTTTTAAAAGCAAGTATGGGACACTGTACACCTTTGAAAAACTGGAAGAAAGAGAAAAAGGAAAAAGAGGAGAACCATTGAAGAAAGCATAAAATAGCAGCTAGCTTTCTTATGTATGCTGAAATTGTGTCTTTTGGGTTTACCCCAAACTTCCCTATGCTATCCATACACTGTTCGCACATTTTGGTCAGTACTAGCTTCTGAATTAGAAGAGACTTTATCGGTTGCTTTAAAATGCTGGACCTAAAATGAAGAAACACTTAATTAGACTGTCACCACTTTGAATATCCATCAGGGTACTGTGGAATTGTATATGAAAATGGGTCATTCTTACATGTGCTCTTCTTCAGAGGTGAAGATCAAGTCAGCTAACAGCTGTCAACAAGATTCTAATGCAGGCAGGAATTTTATGGTCAACTTGGGATGTCCTTTATTCCTTACTATCGAAAGGTATTCAGAAACTAGTATCTTTCTGAAAAACGTGTTAAACATTCAGCAGAAATTATAATTCCTTGAAGCACATAAAGTTGAGCAAGAGTAAATTTGAAACGTACGCACCTTTTAATATCTGAACTAAGATAACAGAAAATGACGTTATCGGGGGCTTTTTCTCTACAACGAAGGATATATACTCGCTGAGGATGAAGAGCCTATTGTAAAATTTAGAGAGGTAATTTGAAGATCACGTATGAATTTCTAGTCTCATCTTGAAGGAGTCTGTTCTGTGTAAAATTGCTTTGCCTCCGTAAGAACCTGGCGCTAGCTTGGGCTATTTGCTACTTCTCTTTGGAAAGGCTGGACACCGATTCTTTTTCTTTTTGAAATTTGGCCTTTTGGGGTAAACTTTTTGAAAAGTGAGCTGTTTATCTGCCACTGAAGTTATTTTTCAACGTGTAATAAAAAGCTACTTACGGAGTTCCAACCAAACAAAATATTTAAGTTTAGGTAGTGGTCTCATTGAGTTTTCTGGCCTTCTTAGCAGTAAAAACAAGAGACACCCCACTGTCTGGAGAGCGATGCTGTGTCACGGGCCTCCCTCCACAAACTGCCATTTGCGATAAACCATCAATCACGCAGAGGCACCTTTGAAATGCCTTTCCTTGCTAATATAGATTTTACACACATCAACATTCTTTTTCCCTGAAAATTAACCCTATTTTAAAGTCTCCAAATGTTAAGGGCCTTGGGCAAAAGTAAACTAAAGACAGAAGGAAAAATAACCATCCCCTCGCAATGGAAAACAAAAGGAAATAAGCAAAAGATGATGAGGAGGAATTACCAGCTGATTTCATAACACATCCATGCCTCCCATACACATATATATGAAATCAAAATCTAGACACATACAACTTGGACATCCAAAGGGGACTGCTACTATTCATACATTCGGAAAGAGTTGTTGAAATTTCTACTCATGAAGCAGCTCTTGTAGGCAGTTCGGGGATTTGAAAATCTCAGGGACTTCACTATCCAGCTTGCAGATGACCTTGTATATGGCCTTCTTCCAGGAAGGATCAACATCTTTGCCTGCGATAATGGCATTGAAAAACTCTCGTAATGTGATCTGCGCAACTTCCAGGAATCTCTCTGGAACCTGCTGATACAAGGAGACAATGGCATTAATAAAGTTTTCAGTTTCAAGTCTCCAGTTCTTCAAAGGAAATTGAGCTAAGTTTTCTTTCAGAAATGGGCTTACATGGCACCTGTATTTGCTAAAAATGGCCGGCCTCTATTCTCTTATGTAAAGTTGTTATATATAGTAGCATTGTAATGTGGGGTTGATAGCTTTGTGAAGTTACAAAGGGACTTGTGCAAAGGATACACACACACTTATTGGAAAACTAGGATCCCTTTCTAAATATTCGGGTGACAAAAGGGGACATGCTGTTGGGATTCCCCACTTTCTAAACAGATGTATTCCAGGTGCATTTCCAACTAATCTTTCAGAATTTCAATCCTATTTCCTGTTCATTTCCATTATGAAAACAAAATGTGTTCCCCAAAGTAGAATAAGAAATGATGGGCCTTTGATAGAAACGAAACCCCCTGTAAATGAAGAAAACCTAAAATTTGTTTCCTACGTAAGCAGAAGATGATTGACTCAAATGCTAAATTGGATATGAGAGTGATAGGCATCACAAAGTACTCTACATAAAGAAAGGAATGAGGTAGTGACACTAATATTGAGTCCCCAAATACAAATTTGTAGTGACTCCAAATATCCTGCATCAGAAAGTACTTTACTTTGAGATTAGAATTGCTCCACGAGAGTGATTTATGCAGCTGATACTAATAACGAAGGTGAAACATTTTTGGAGTGCTTATTACGTGTCAGGCACTGTGCTGTGGACTGACTGTGAATGATGCCATTCACTTCTCCCAACATCTCTATAAGGTGTCATTATCCTCTTTTTACAGTGGAGAAAACTGAGGCTCTGAGAGATCAAGGTAATTTTTCACGGTCCTTATTTTCTAAGACAAACATTCTCCAAATATTCTTTTTAGAACTTCTATTTGTTCATCCTTTTCTTCCACAGTCCTTTAATAGACACGTGCATGGGTGTGTGCACCCAGGGTTCTTAATTGTTCATTTAACAGTTTGACCTCTTGTCCGAGGAAAATGGGTAGCTATTGATATACTACTAAGTACAATTCTTTGTCAGTTACTCAAGGCAAAGCATCCGCACCAAGATAAAGGATTTGCAAAACCATTTGGTGAATTCATAATTTTCCAAGTACACACTGACACTCAGTAGATTTCTTTAAGTGGGGTATTTATACATTAGTAATGTTTTATTTTCATAGGAAGTGCAGCTATACGTGGCAGTAAATGCACTGTAGTCGTATGTGTGGACAAATTTCCATCTCAGTTCACGTATGCCACTTAATCAAAGTCAAAAGGGAGGTATTGTCATGTTGAACATATTTGATCTTTTTCTCCCCACCTTTACTCAATTTGTACAATGGACCATTTTATAATGATAGTAACTATTAAAGATAGTTAAAATGATCACAGGCATCCCTGTTTTATACATTTAAAATTGGACAAAGAAGGTCACTCCTTCCAATGGTCAGTCACTTGTCTTTTGTAAAGAAAACTTGTAATTCCCCAGAAAAAGAAGGGACCCAATCGAGGGCCTCTCAGAGTCTAGAAACAGTGAAAATTTTGAGTAGACGCTTCCAAAGACATATGCGCTGGCCAAGTTCTCAGGACACAGCTCCCCCAAATCATGCAAATACTGCCTTGTCCTCCATGGATGGGCAAACCCATACACCCCCACGGCCATTTCTCAATGAGAATTCACCTGGATTTTCTACAGAATGTTGGTGATTTCTCCCCCAAATTCCTGAAGATAGATTTGTATTTGTGGAACAGGAGAAGCCCAGAGGAGAGATTAGCTCTCCCACTCACCTCACACTAAATAAAAAGTCATTAAGCAGCCTTTCGGAGTACTCTCCCCTTTTCCCTCAAAGATAATCCTTCACATTTTATCAGATGGGCATTATTGAGGGAGGGAATCTGGCTGGAGGACAGTGAGGCAGTACAACTACACACTCTAACTCCTTGGTTTGGGAGCTGTTAGCCAAATGTTACAGAAACATAATCATAGGCATTTATTAAAATAAACATTTCAAGAAGTGTGGTTTCCCCAGCCACTGGCAACAGAGGCATGACGAAGATCTATGTCCCTCTGACACTTGGAGTCTCAGCATGGCATGGGAGCTGTGAAGGACAGCGGGTATGGTGGCTGCTCCAGATGATGTCAGAGGAGGCCATAAGCCCCTCCACACTAAGGCCCCACAGGAGGGCTGGGGCACTGGGGGCCAAGGGAGCAGAGGTATTGTTTGAGATCATCAGAGGAGGAAGGTGCCTCTAGAACAGCATCAGCATTCGAGGAGGGAGGGAAACGTAGTTCTAGAGTTTGCCTGAGAACAAATCAAAGTAACTTCTCAGAGCGGGGGGGTGGGGGGGGGTCGGGGGCATGTGGCTTCCACCCTATGGTTATCATCCGCCATGCTTGGTAATGGTTTTTAGTGGGTTCTATCTTGTGTTAAACATTCATTTCTTTGGGTAGCCATCTTGGGCCGTCCTTTCCCATCTTTTGTATTTATGTCTTGTGTTGTTTAATTTTTCACCTACTTCCATAGAGTTGTAATGAATTTATCACAAGATGTCTTTAGATAAAGAGCCATGGTTTCTATTCTGTTTCTCCCACCACCTCCCCCGCCAACGCTTAGTCTTTCATATTGAGAACTTGCTTTCTACCTTAATCCATATCTAGAGTCACACCTACCTTCTCCCTCAATACTTAAGAAAAAAAAGAAATTTTAAAATAACGATTAAGGAAGATAGCAGTTAAGGAGTTGGACTAGATCTCAAAACTCATTTTATAGGTGAAGAAAGACACTACGAGATGAATAAATTATGAGAAGACTCATGTGAAATAACACGTTCAGGTGTCATATCATTTAACCACGCTGGCCCCTTCTTAATGCATTTTCAGTAATTTCTATTTATATTAGGCATCAAAACCTGGACAAACTGTAGATCTGTGACTGAGGGAAAAAGCCACAGAAGAGCTAGTAACTTCAAAATAAATGTGAATGGTACAAAGGATTCCCAGGGGGAGACTTGGGTTATTGGTTTATGTTCGAGAAGGGATGAATACTTTTGGAACAAATGAAATGGTTTGCTAATTTAGTGCTTACTCTGAGGCAATACTCCTACAACGGATTGGGCTGGTTTAAAGCAGCGGATAATGAGGCCCTCTAATATTAGAGCAATTAATCTTTTTTGGTGGCTCCAGGGAGGTGAACTGATGAGTAGCAACTGATCTTCTCAGAGAGTGGTCAAGGAATTCCACCCACAGGTAGAAGTGTCACCCATGAGCAAAGACACCCTCACCTCTCTGCTTCAAAACTTTCCCCAACTCCATGTAACAGAGTAAGAGGGGGGTCCTTTCTGATTTTTGGGGGGTCTATCTTAGAATTCGGGCTTAGGAGAATGATGTTGCCATATTTTTCTGTACCTCTTCACACCTAATGGATTTCCAATCACTAACAAACATCTGCAGAAAATCCCTTAGTGACAAGTAATCCCTTATCTCGGTTTCTTTTAATAGAACCCAACAATGTGCAGAATGAACCCCAGAGTATCTCCTCGGCATCAGGTGGCAACAGTCAATCAAGGCCCTGGAATGCAAGACAATGCAGGCTGCTGGGAGGGGGGAGGGAAGGCCGTGCCTTTGGACATGCCACTGGGGAAAAACAAAAGGCTTCCAAAGACTCTGGCTGCAACTCTGAGGCTATTGTGAGAGCTGCTGGTGCCGAGTGTTCTTCAGGAGAGGAGAATGGAAACTTTGCCTGATACAAAGGCATCCCGATATAGGAAACTCACCCCAAATGGTCTTGCCTCTCCTTGCCTTGATATTTGGAGGAGAATATAATTGCGAGGAGGTACTCAAAGGCACTTAGAAATTTGAAGGGGGCTGGCTACCAGCATCTACCAATTTCATCACAATTGTTTGTACTTGAGTCTCCTCCGAGCAAACAAGGGCCTTATGGGCTTTGATGAGATGGGGAAATGGGGAGGCTGTTTTCAGATCTGCTCCAGCTGTGCGGGGGGCGCGCGTACGCGCGCACACGCACACGGGCACTCGCGTTGTCGCGCATAGTGTGTTAGGCGGAGGGCTGTTTTGCTATTCTTTTTTTTTTTTTTTTCTCTTCCTTTCTCAGAATGAGTGGCAAAGACACATTTTTTCCCTGTCTTCCTCCTCCTCTTCCCAGTTGCTTTACCTTCAAGGATGATTTGTTTTATTAAACTGACTGTCCCTAGCCTCTGCAGTACATAATAAAAGCCTGACATAGCAGGCTGGCTGCCTTCTGTGTCCTGCAGACAGTCATCATAAGTGTCAGGACATACCAAGGTTAGTGGTCACTGGAAGTGTGCTCGCTGGCCCAAACCTTGCCAAACGCTCTTGGCAGCTGAATGAATGTCACAGAGAATAGAAAGGGAATTACAAAGGTTAAAAAGAAGACAGCCTCTCCTATTTTCTGGAGACAAGAGATGCTGATTTTTCACACCTCTGAAATGTCCCCTGCCTCATCCTGTGGCCTTTTGCAGGGGACCTCAGCCTGGTCCCTTGCACGGCTCCCCATGGATGCTTCTCCATCCTCGATCCCGTTTCAAAATTGGTCCGCTGGTCTCATTTCAGCAGTGAGATGATCTGTACTGAAATGGACAGAAAACAAACCAGGCACCTCCCCAGCCCCTCCCCCACAACCAGAGGCTCAAATGGCTTGTCAAGGTTATCAATAGATCACAATCTTATCAAGGGATCTTTTCAACTAGTTTTTTTTTTTTTTCAAACTTAAGGGAAATGTAAAAGGAAACCTATGCATGGGCAGGAGGATTTAAGGGATGAAAAAGTAAAATCCCGGCTAGTATTTTGGTGAATTAGTTTGTGTGTGGGTTTTCTTTCTTCTTCCTCCTCCATCTTTTTTTTAATACTATAAAAGGGCAATAAAATGCTGACTGTAAGAAGACAATGTCAAGGAGAAAAGGGTACTGGTATTTTGGATACTCTTCACTGC